TTAAAGGAGCACTCTTACGAAACCGCCCTATAATTTGAAAACCCGAAAAATTCAGTTATTACATTATAATATGAATTTTTAGCAATTAATAAAATCTTTTTAATAATAATTTTAGTTGAAAGTCAATTCTAGGGCGAGAAATTACGGTTTGAAAACCGTTCCGCCATTAATTTGCGTAATCACGGTCAGCGGTCACTCCCATTTTGACGTAATTACTCAAAACACTGTTGGCGTCATTTTATATTTATACGGAAACCTCATATAAATTTAGTGAAATAGTCTTAAAGGTAAAAGGTAAAGACTGTTTACGAGCCTAGTGGCCATCAGGTTGGTGCTTAACTCCGGTTTCTGTAGCATGAAGCGACCAGGAGTACTTCTACTCCCCTTGGATGGGATGCCAGTCCATCGCAGGGTTACCCCCAGCATTAAATTGACTGTACCCATTTAAACACCTGGGTGGAGAGAGCCACTGTGAGAGTAAAGTGTCTTGCCTAAGAACACAACACAATGTTCCGGCCGAGGCTCGAACCCGGACCACTCGATCCGGAGTCGAGCGCACCAAAAGCCTCGTGAAATTCAGTGAAATAGTCTTAGTCTTATAAAAGCAATATATATGATCAAAATACTGTTTTTGAAAATTAGCCACGGGCACGGCGCGTCAAATGAGTAATCTACGTCACGCTCCAAACTCGCGCCAGTCTTCTTGAGCCTGGCAAGTGATCACGAAAATTAGTGGCGGAACGGTTTTCAAATCGTAATTTCTCGCCCTAGAATTGACTTTCAACTAAAATTATTATTGAAAAGGCTTTATTAATCGCTAAAAATTCATATTATAATGAAATAACTGAATTTTTCGGGTTTTCAAATTATAGGGCGGTTTCGTAAGAGTGCTCCTTTAAGGAAGTTTGTGAAACGTTCATCGATTGCACTCTCGGCCGAAGTGTATACCAGATCAACTTGTCATAATGAATCCAAATTATCGAGAACTTCGGTTAGATTACACCCAGTTAAACCAAGAGATTCAAGCTCGAGTATTTGATCCTGTATGATGCTTGTAAGTGGAGTTATAACAAACACAACGTGCCGTTTATCGTCGTTGGCCTCGAAGCGTGCAAGCAACACTAGAGCTTGGAAAATTAAACTTTTTCCAAACCCAGTCGGCAAAATAGCTACAAGATCCTTCTTTTTGACGTAGAGCTGTTCCAAAGCTTGGCGCGGTTCGTTTTTCAGATTGATTCCGCGTTGTTCTAGGATGCCTGTTTTTTATCACTTTCACGGCTGAGTGACAGTTATTTGATCTTGACCAATGAGAATTCTTCGTCCATGAGAGATGGGATATTTCGAAGAATCCACGGGGTCGCTTGCAGGCCCTTCTATCCTCTCCCCAAGCCTCGCTCCGCTCGCCCTCCTATCCCTTCTCCAAGCCTCCCTCCGCTCGGCTTCCCACCCCCTTCCCCCCTCCCTCTAGGGCTGCTACGCAGGCTACTGCTAATTATATCTGTCGCCCCCATCAACCCATAAGTATATTATCAAATTCAAATTATAACAAATGTGTTCTCGAAAGGAAAAAGAAACAAGCGACGAGATTAATGTAGTGAACAAGATTGACGAACTTCAGTGTAGTCGGTAAAGCAGATCTCGGTCAATAATCTTTTTTATTTATATTAAAATTGGTTTATATAAAAAATAAATTTACATACTCATTGTAGCGATACAATTAGGTTACTCTTTCTATGTGTGACTACTATTGAATAAAAACCTTACAATGAATAATGGAAGTTACCCAATCCATTAGATAAATTAACTGCAGTGCAGTCAAACTTCCTTGTTTTTTGTTTTAGTGCGTTAGTAATCGGTGTGCAAAGCTGACAAATCTGGTAATAGGAATCCGAATAATCTAAAACTACTTCCAAGCAATGAAATTAAACCACGAACTTCCGTGAAGTGGGAGCTTCGTTTCTTACATGCTGCCGGATTATCTTAGTAGAACACAGTTCTAGTTAACATTACTTGTACCTCAGTAGTAAATTTGGAGCACGTCAAAATGAAAACTGAATGTGGCGTTAGTATTTCTTGCTCCAATTTCGTTAGAGAAAAATGTAAAATCGGTTCTCTGAGGTGTTTCATGCCAAAAATGGCGTCAGAATATGAGGTTCACCCGAGCAATTACTCTTCAGCAACACAAACTCTGTGGGAAGTGTCCTCGTAATGGCTCTAAGGTCCTCGGTGCCTTGAACCCTTTTGCTTTCCGTTGTTATTTATTCGCGGGCTACCTGGAAAACATTTCTATTTTTTCATAGACCTGTCTCTCTTCTCCATGGATGACGATGGATATACCTTTTCAACCTTTTGCGTACGTACGGCGTTTAGCAAGGATAAAAAAATGTTTGATAATTTTTTATGGAGAGGAACTAGAAACGTTATCAATGCTTTGGTATGGTGTTAAAAATTTTGAGCGCTGGTCCAAGCTTGATCTTGAGAATATTGACGATATCGTTCTGGGTCACTAACAAGAACGCCTCTCCGTCAATTAGCTGGAAGATAACAAATTAAGGTACTCGTTTAGGTAAGAAAAGACGTTTAAAAAAAATAACACCTGCCGTGTACTTCATCGTTATAAAGTCCCTAGCTCGTAAGACTACATCCAACCACCTCACTAAATTCTGTGAGGGACCCAGAATAAAGGCCACAAAAAAACACTAAAAATGCACGCTTACTGGGTGATGACTACATATATCTTTACCTCGTCTCCAAATATCTTAGCCTGTTCCAAGCAGCCGAGCGAGCGCACGTGACTCATAACGTCATCCACAGTCCATTTAATGATACGTTGCCTTTCGTTGGAAGCCACCGATTCATTTTCTAAACTGATGGCGGCCTTCAGCTCGCTAAGACCCATCATGGAGAACTGGCTTCCCAAAGGCCACGGAAACGAAAACGGTGTGACATGTTGAACAGCCTTGTCTGCATCTAAGAAGACAAAAGAAAAAAAAATTAAAGTCATTAGCGATTTTTAAAGTCATTGGGCAATCTTCTTCCATTGTGTGACGGACCAGAGAAACAGAATGGTAGAGGCTACATTAAGGACTGAATAAAACAATTTCTATGAAAGCGAGAGTACACTGAGGCAGCAGATAAATTCTTGATGCATTTGAAAAATTTGGTTCAACCGTTCGATGATTCGTTTATCAACTATGCCAGTTATCACCTGGAGCTCATTCCATTTACCGACTATGAAAAGGATTTAATTAGCTGGCGTCTCTCCACCTACAGCGCTATACACTCTTGAATACAAATAACAGCAGAGCTTCAAGAAGAGACTAACTAGTAAGCAATAAGAGCGACTTACACTTCTGGCGAATTCCTTGATGTTTCTCTTCTTTGACAAAAACTTTCCTGTGTTAACAAAGGACGCATTTAAACTTTGATTTGAACTTGTAATCATTCACTGGCGACTCGAAACAATTTGTTTGTCTGACTCAATATCACATGTCTTCGAGATCTCTGTTTCATAACAGTTTCACGAGAGAACACTTCCGTCGACCATTTAAGTACACCTTATCACCAAAAGAAGTGCCAGTGATTCACCGGTTAACATACAGTAAGACAGGTTCTACTCCTAATGAAACAGTGCTATTCCACTAAATCCTTATCTAGACGGCTCCTGGTCACACAGGAGATTTTAAAATGACACAAAGCAATACCTGGCAGAGCTTCGGGTAGATATGATACTTCCACCAACCGGTGCTTTGGTACCTGAGATGACAGGGGGAGGACTGTTGGACGTGGGAGAGAGGTGTGGATTTTTCTTGTTGACTGGAGACTTGCTGGTATGCTTCGAAAAGATCTTGCCTTGGTTTGCTTCATTGTTTGGGCAGCCTGACAGACTACGAAAACAAAATAGGATACTACCAACAGCTTACAAAACAGAACAAGTGTACTCTGAATGGTTAAAAATTAAAAAAGAATTGTCGGGAGACTTGGAAAGAGTCACCTGATCGGCTCTAGGCGAAGCAAATTATTGTACTATTCTATTTGATAGATATGGATATTAGTAACAAGTTTAAACACTGTATTTTCTATTATATCAATCCTAGCAAAAGTTCGAGATGAACTGTCCATGTCTATAACGAAATTCACAACAAATTTACCATTGCTTTAGTTTGAGAGGAAATTGAGAGCAAAGGAAGCGAAAAAATTTTGACAGAACACAAGATTTAAGTATGTTATGCAAACCGAAACTGTATGACGACAATGCTCTCGATTTGAGAGAGAACACCACCACTTGTTAACTTAACGACCTGGACTGGCCTCATATTCAGAGGAAGCGGTGAATTGTTTACCGTATGCCATTCTACAAAGCTATTCATAAGAATCAGTTAAGTCACAAGGCCCAGTTGTCAGGCAAGACTAAGAATAAATAGTTTTAACCAGCTTATCGTTTCATCTATTAATTAAGAATGTCTTCAGAAGGTTTAAACACATAAGTAACGGTTAGAATCACCCGTCTCCTATTTCTAAGTTTGTCAGTAATACGTACTACATTTTGCAATACTTCCTCCACCCCTCCTTCATACAGATGTAGCTTACGTGTAATGAGTCTTCCAATGTCCGGTGACGTGACCCAGGCCATCGCATCCTGGTGTGGGGCACACCCCTTCTACGATTGGACTTGAAGGAATCTCAGCTGAGAATTAATGGACAAAACAATTCCTCATTGGATAAATTAACCTTGTCATGACTTGTCAGTTATTGCTTCAGCCTTACGTTTTACTTCTTTGAATCCAGTAGTTTTCTGTTTAGAAGCGTACGACCAGTCGGATTCTTCAGTCATGGAGTTGTTGGAGAGCCGATCCACCAAGCACGAGTCTTTGTTCAGGTTCTGCAATGAATACGGGCAGCCAAATGTGCTGTGATGAGTGGAATACTTAGCGCCCTTTACATGACCAATGCCCTTACATCCTGGAGTCGGACAGGCAGCACTTGAGATCTTCTCCCGGGTAGCTGTAAAGAAAAAACAATTATTGTAATGAGATTGGCGGTAGGACTGATCTGAGATAAAGGTCTCTACTCGAGATCTGTAAATTCTTCTATGGAATAACAGCTGAATATTGCGTTATGTAGGGCTGATTAAAAAACGGGTAATGATAATTCAAGCATACGCCGCTGACTACAACTGAAGTCTACAAAGAAAAAGGGGTACACGACTACCGACCTGGATGCGAGCTTGGTTTAATTTTGGTACCGGCTGTTAACCCTTTCTACCTATCATTTGGTAGAGTCATTGACGCTTATTTTTGCATCTTTTTTCGGCTACCTTTAAGTGACTACAGGAAAAGGGGTTACAATGTGCAGCCTTCTCTCCCCCCTTAATGATGGTAATGTAATATTGTACCTGGTGAATTTTTTTACCGTGTATAAATAAAATAAAATGATAAAAATTAAAATAAATGAATAAAATCAAAGAGTGGATACTATCGTCTTAATATATACAGGAGAATTTAATAAAGCATTATTATTATCATTATTATTATTATCATTATCATTACTTAGGGGTGTTTCCAGAGGATGTCCCGTTTTTTCGCACCACCCCACTGGGTGTAGGTCGGTGGAATCAGCATCAAACCAGTCATCATAGATATCATCCCAGCCATCAAAATGCACCTTTACTCTGTACTCTTCCAATGCAGCTACTCTGGCTGCACGAACTAACGATGGATTCCGTTTATCAACCGCTTCCATTCTCTCGCCGGGCTTAAAACTTGGCTTCGGGCGCTACAGAGAAAACAGTGTATCAAGATGAAGCTCCATGGAACAGTACTTCATTGCATACACTTTTAAATCACGGTAATCCCAGAATTTGATAGGCTCTTAGCAGAACGATTTGTATAGGTGATCACACGAATTCGAGTACAATTCGGGATAAATCAGGAGAAGTATATTTTTCGAAGGCTAACCACACTGCACAAGCACGTAGGGCGAATGGAATTTGTAGTCTATGAAACATTTGCGAGCCCAGAGCTATCCCAAGTTGCTCGAGAAAAAAACCTTGTGATTACTTGTTAATAAACTACATGTAAATACTCGAATCTGATTTTTATTTCGCGTTATGACTAACTGGTTGGTCCATTTGCCTTTGTGTTGTTGCCGGAGTAGTCGGGGAAAGAACTTGGTTCTAGCTTTTAAACTTTCTTTCACTAACAATCAAGTGTTTGGACTCTTTCTCAGTGAGGTATCGCTTAATAGCAACCAGTTCACGAAAGCTATCACGTACGTTGATTCAAATACACAAGTTTTCAGAGAAAAAAAAACTGAAAAACTTTTTATGTAGTGGTTATAAAAAGACACGAAGCAGATACTATAACCCCCCCCCCTTTTATCCCAAAACTAAAGGCCTCCAAGGGTGTGTATTTGAATCATCTTTAACGATGATTTTAATACACACGTCTTCAGAAAAATAAAAACTCTGAAAAACTTTTTATCTAGTGGTTATAAAAAGAAACCAAGCAGATAATATAATACGCCCCCTTTGATCCCAAATGTGAAGGCCCTCAAGGATTTAAGTATCAAATCTAACCTTTTTGAAGAGATCTGGAGGCGCAGCAACAGTACGAGTCTCCCTCAGGTACTCCTCCCACTGGAATGTGTACACTTCGTCATCTGAAATGCACGATATTTTGAGACATGTTAGCTTTAAAGATAGTTGCCTTGAAATTTAGTAAAAAATTTGAGACAGCAGACACCAAAGGGTTAAGAATGGAACAAAAATGCTGGAGGATCATAGACTACAAATGATAAACTTGAAACGAAAACTACCCGGTATTAATATTATTTAATCAAGCCTGAAAACGAACGCTCCGACATTCCCAACTTTTTCTAGGCTGAATGGGTTTCCAAATTTGAAGGCAGTAAGAAATGCAGTCGGTCAGCTTCCAAGTCAATATTGAATAAACGATTAGTCCATTCACCCTTGTTGAATAAGAGATTGGCTGTCGGGGGTACTTTAACGAAAATCGTACAACGTCTTGTGTCTTACTTTACTGCTACTCACCATTGGGAGGGTTAAGTTTCTTGCCATTCTCTGCACACCACCCTACAGGATGAATATATGGACAATCGTCTTGACACCAGTAGTCATAGGAGTCGTCCCACTCGTCGAAATGAACCAAGAAATAGTTGCCGATCACGTTGGTTACCGTGGCAACACAGATCAGATCCGGGTTCTTGCGATCAACAGCTTCTAGTTTCATGCCGATTTTAAATCCGTGTAATGTTGGTTGGACCTGACGTGTTAGGATGAGAAATTACCTTTTTAGAAGCTAATATGCCGTTTTTCATTAATTTTAGTTTTATCAACATCCATAGTAAACTCAACTATCCATTACGCTAACAATGTTTCGGTAGTTTAAAGTGCTTTTGTTTAAACTTGCCTCTCTGAACAGATTTTCTGGAGCCGCCCTAGCTCCACACTTCTTCAAGTACTTTTCCCACTTGAACTCCTGTTTTGTGAAACCTGAAATGGAAAACGAATTAAGGGAGAACATTCATCATATGCCACGCACGCGTGACCATGGCATAGCAGTTTATGTGATGTTATCTTAGTTCTACCTGCCTTTTATCTTTTTATAACTTTCCACTATTCTATTCGATGTCCATGGGCTGAATCTAAGTAAATAAGCCACTATTTTCCGGAAGCTTCAGTTGAAGTGCTCGAATTCTCTCGATTGGACAAAATGAAATCGGAAAATATTCGTGTTCTTCAATGAAGACCTCGATAACTGAGTTTATTTCAGTGACTCACTTCTTGGTGGGTGCAGAACCTGGCCGATCCTCTCACACCAGTGCATGGGATAGATAAACGGTGAATCCACGTTAGTCCAGAAGTCGTAACTCTCGGACCAGCCGTCGAAATGGAGCCTGAGGCGTGCTCCTTTGACTTTGACAATGGTACACACACAGACGTAAGACGGGTGTTTAGGGTCAATACACTCCAACTTGTAATCCTTCTTGAAAGAATGATTTGGCTTTGGAAACACATCCAGAGAGGGGTTCTCCTGTAATGTACCGTTGTGAGGTACTAGTCAAAATTGTACTTCGTACGAAGAAGTGTATTTGCTTTTTATTCATATACTAGGAGTTGTTTTACATTCCTATCAAAAACTATGGGAAAACACAGGGCTCCAAATCCGATCACTAGGGATAAACGAAAAAAAAAACTCAACAAAGTACAAAAACGTGAAGAAAAAATATACTAGTAACTGAAGAAAACATTTACCGACAACATACCTGTTTAAAAACAATATTAGGAACTGCTTTGGCACCACAAGCTGCTAAGTACTCTGACCATACGAACGGTTTGGTGGAGTCATATGGAACTAACAAAAATAACCATGCTTTAAAAGATAAATTAACTGAATCTCGGAGGGTAAGACATCCAGGCCGTGGTATGAAAGGTAATCAGCTTTAGACGTTCAAGAGAAAACGAAGTGAGGATCTTGCAATATCATATGTATTTACCGTCTTCTCCGTTCGTCAGATTAGAGGGTTCCAACGAGATTGGCTGTTTGGCCGCTTTCATTTTGTGTTTTTCTCCTTTACCTTTTAGTTTAAACTTGCCCATGAGCGGAGCATCCTGAACTGACGTTATAGAGTCCTGTAAAAAGAGAACATAAGTGAACCATAACAGACAAACGGAGCGTATCTCTGACTGACCAAGCTAAGAAATCTCCTTCACACGTCAGACTTTGAGAAGGAGTGACCATATTGGCAGTGTGGTTCTAATTCCTCAAAAAATCCCACACAGGCTGAGAACAGAATATCGTTGAAGTTTTCTACATACATGCGCACCAGCTGCCACCGGTGGTTTCTCCGCAGTTCCAATTTTCTTTCCTTTTCCCTTCTTTTTTTTCTTCACAATCTTTCCGTCTGCAGTTTTGACTTTGCGCACAAACTCCCTGCCCTTGTTTCTTCTGCCAGTGTATACTCCCACACAAGACAAACCACAAAACCTTCCTGATGCTGAGAATTCCTGAAGCAATCCATGCTTTCCGCACACTTCACAGCACAGGACGTCAGTAGCATTAGGAGAACTGTTTTTTGCCGTTTTAGCTTTTTTCGGAATACCTGAGAGAATGCCGAAATGTTTGATAAACGGATTTAAAAACAAAAAACTCCAAATAATCCTCTAAGGAAGATTAACAAGAATGGAATGTTATTCAGAGCAGTCATCAATTGATAGAAGATAGTAATCTGGAACTGCGTGAGCAGCTTAACTGCTACAGATCTGAAGTTTTTTTCATGTGTTAACTTGGTAACGTCATCCAACATTACGAATATCAAATGGAGAGTTCTATCATTCCGGTTGTTTCACACTGAGAAAATAGAGATATTGTTAACAGTCTTAACTTAAAATAAGTACATAATTACATGGTGGCAGTATCATTTAAAAAGCCATTTGTCTTAAAACGCCTACCGCTGTCTTTCTCGTCATCTGGTCTAGTTCCGTCTCTTAATTTTTCATTTGTTTTCTCACTCCCTGTCTTTCGAAGTTCTGTTGGTGTGCTCCATTGTATTTCACCCTTCTCTGTTTCCACTGTACTTATTATCTCTAGAGTCCCAAACTCAGTCAGTTTAAACTTAAGATTGCTCCCTATTGAAAAACACACACAAAATGAAACAAATTAAAAGTAATAACTACGTGCTACTTGTGGATACGTCACGTTCGTTTTCCCCTCGGCTGGAAAATTGACACTTACTAAAATGTAATTGATAATCATCTCTTTTTTCCTCTTTATTGAAATAATTTTAATGCTTTTTATCCGCTAATCCACTGCTAACGATTTCATATGATTGTGCATCAGTACACTTCTAACAATAAAAGTAAACTAAGTCATGTCAGTTGCAGATCCATTCATATGCTCTTGATAAGAGTGGGAATTAAAGAATAAACGTTAGAGTTCCAGGGAATCTCTCACGTGGCATGAGAGTTAAAGAGTAGATGCGAAGTGTTAGTACCTTAAAGTGATTCAGACATCTTTCTAATTTTTGGCAGAACACCTACCCAAGCAAGGTTTATCAATGTTTTAAAAAAAAAGGTAACATGTTGCTCTGTAAGACTCAACAGACACTAGGTGATTATTACTTGGAGCCAACTTTATGACCAAAGCACATGTTCAAAAAGAAAATTCAAGCATTACTATTTGAAACTCTAGAAACTCTGGACTGAGTTATGCTGACACTAGCACTCTTATTTCTGATATAAAAAGGCATCTTAATTACAATTCAGTCATAAATTATAATATTTTTCTTCAGGTTTTTTTTCCTCTTTTGACAAATAATGACTTTGTATTCAAAATCGACTTTTTTAAGGCCTTCAGTTGGTAATTCGTGTTTGTTTGTCCTTAACATCGCCCGCCTCGATTAGCTCGCTATTTGCAGGCGGTTTTTATCATTAGTAATTGTTTTGGAAGACCATTAAACTTGAAAACTTAAAAAAAAAAAAGGTATTATTGTGAAAGAGGTTTTACACGGTTATTATTCATTGTGAATACACTAGAAATGGAGTATTATTTTGTGCCTCATGGTTTAGCTACTTTTAGAATGGATGGTGACATCTCAACTGTATATTGCTGATCTTCACCAGGTGATGAAGTCAGTAGAATACATACAACCTAAATCAGGATCTTCCACTGTGGTAAGCTGGTTTTCCATAGTTATAACTGGAACAATTCAGAGATGTGGTCTCTCAGTCATCTGAGGTAATGTTCTCCTGCCATTGTGCTTCTTGATCATGGGCATCCATGCTTCTGGGATATGTATTCCACAATCCCTGTTGATGTTGCTGGGGTAAATAACCTAGCTCTTTTACCATGTTTTTGCAAGAAAAAATTGCTATTCACATAAGCTCAAACAAACACACCAGCTTCTTTGGAATACATATCCCAGAGGCATGGATACTCGCAGTCATGAAACACAATAACAAGAGAGTCTATTGGAAGGACAATCTTCAAAATGCACAGATTGCAGCCATGGAAAACCAGCCAATCATAGCAAGAGCATACTGCTTTGTTAGGCATACATATATAGTTGACCTCATCTCATGAAAAAGACTGACAGTTTGTGGTGGAAATGTCCCATTCCACATGGGAATTGACTTCATGGTGAGACAAACAACAATATAATGACAGCAAGTGCCTCAAAGGCTTTCAGCCATTTCACATCAGGTGAGCACTGTTAAATGTTTTACAATCTAAGCTAGTGTTTTTGAAAATGATTTACAATGCTTTCTCGTTCTGAGCAAAATGACTGTAATTCCATCACTTTCAAAGGTAAATTTAAAAAATGTTGTGATGTATCCTTTCTGCCAAATCCCTGCTCTTTCCCTAAAATAGCAATAGGAAACTTAAGTTTCCACACTATGGCAAATGATTTGAGTGATACAAGTAAATATCATTATGATGTGTATAACAATACCTGGAAGGGTAGCAATTCCATCTTTCCAGTCCAGTGCTGAAAATGGATCATCTTCCTCAAAACTTGGTTTTTCCTTTTTCATGGTGGGCATATCTTTTGAATCACTAAAAACTTGAGTCTTTCTGTCTCCCATGTTGTTACTTAGCTGTTGCTTGCCATTGACAATACTTTTATTTCCCTCTGAAATCGACTCCTCCATAATTTTTATTAGACTTTTCTTCTCACTGCCTGCAATTGCTGTGCTTTCATTGCTGGGTTCAATCTGGTCATGAGTGACAGCTGTGACTTGCTCTTTTCCATCACAGAGGTTTGAGATTTCATTTTGGTCTGTTAAGTGGACAAGATATAAAATGGGAGACTTTGGCTTTTCAATACTAGTCATAATAAATTCAGAGTAAGTATTGGGGGGTATATTTTTTCTTCAAGATCTGATTTCCTTTGGATTTGATCCTATTTTTCTAGTCATTTATTATCAGGTGACTTGAACTTGGTTACCTTAAACTTCACATAAACTCAACCAAATTTTACTCCCTCTGTTAAAATTTACACTAAAAACAAAAAACAAAAAATCAAAATAGACTTAAAAGGCTATCACAATTACTGGAGGACCCAGTGGTTTATCTTGTGCACCAGAATTAATATAAATGAACAAATATTTCAAATTAACACAGTGTTTGAAAATCTCAACTGACAGAAGGCAGACAAATTGGCTCTTTACACAACGTAGCCAAAGAGTTAAACTGGGGGCGACCAAGAACAAAATCCAGTGAGTAGTGGGGAGGAGGGCTTGAACCCGGGAACATCAGATTACAAGTTCTGTGCCCCAACCACTTGGCCACGTTGCCTCCAAAGCAAAGCAAATACTGAAGTTGATGCACACATTTTAATTAAAAACATTGGTTCATAAATATCAGTATCAAAACATAGCTGACTGACACCTCCCAACCTGTAATCACCACTAATGTGAACGTAATAACATTTATAAAAACCTCACACATTTAGCCTAATTTCCAAAATTAAAAGTTCTTATAAGGGAGCTCTTATAAAATAACCTAAATGTATAAAAATGACTGTTTATTGTGCAAGAATGTTGAAAACATGATTCCTCTATCAATTTTTAACAGGATAAGTGAAATTGAACACCAATCCAGGAATCCCATTATAAACTTGAACCACTTATAATTAATAACAAGTTAAAGGCAGTTATTATTTTTATCAGAGGTGGACCAGCTTTCATAATTGCTATACCCTTACTTAAGATCAGCTTACTAGTAATTACAAGATGAAAGACTAGCAACAAAATGCAGACCCTTTGAAATGTGTTCAAGACATTCTTGCTTTTGTTAGGCTCAGTTACATTACAAATAATTAAAAACTCCCTTTTTTTAAATGTGAACACGATTTTTCATTTCCCTTGTTTTTTTTTTTTCTTGAAATGGTATTTTCCAATTACCATTTCAAGAAAAAAAAAACAAGGGAAATGAAAAATCGTGTTCACATTTAAAACAAACAAACAACACAATATGCCAAAGTTTTACCATTTTAGACAAACAACTTCACTCCACTAATGACTGTTGATTACCTCTCAGGCTTTTGGAAGCCAGTGAAGTTTCAAAATCTATTTCCTGTTCTCCATCATTATCCAGTCTCTGTTTTTTTGCTTGTGGCTCAAAGTTTTCACTTTTTGCATAAGTGACTCCAACTGCAACTGCCTCTGGCCCATTCATGCTGATTACCTAGTACTGTAACACATTGCTCCTTTCTGTCAAAAAGGAAACTTATTTTGTCAACCTCTTTTCATAGTAAAATATCACAACTGAAGGTATTTTGCCATGAGCCAACTGAATGAAAATGGTGAATGTAGTTTACTACAGGTATTTTTACTGGGTGACACAACAAGCTGAGAATGTAACAGATTAACACAAGTCTAATGAACAGTATATGTTGAAGTTATTGGGCCAAATATTGAGAATATTTTGTAGCATGCAGGCATGTATCCAAAGGTTATTTAACTATTTATTCATTTATTTATTTCTTTTTTGTCATCATAATTATTTTTTCACATATAATTACATGTTTAGTAAAAAAGAGACATCAGATTAGGATTAATTATTGACTTAAATAAAAGAAATGATAATAAAAAAAATGTTACAAAATGATAAAACATATGACTTAGACTGCAATTGGTTTGAGCGTTGCTTCCTTGACTGGTGCCCTACTAAAAAAGCATTGATGTAGAACTGGCTTTGATTTTTTTTTTGAACACTTTCAGTCTTTTGATTGAAATTCAAACCTAAAATATTTGTTAGTAGGAGTAGCAATCATCACCTTTGTACATTTAAAGAGTTTCAATTCCCTGTAAATACCATAAATCATGAAATTACACAAATATTCAAAGAGGACATCCAACCAAAGATGAATGATTTGTAAGCTATAAATAATAACTCCCTGGCTGTCATTATAAAATACAACATGTCTTCTAAAATGTCTCTGAAAAACTGACAGAGATTGATAGAGAATGAAGGCTCCCTTCAAACGTCAGATTTCATGAAAAGTTTATCAGATCCATGACATAGTTAAAGCCCAAAAAGATACTTAACAACTGAAAAGGAGACATGACTGCTGATATCGATAACATCAAGTTGCTAAACGAAAAAAATGTAACCAAACCCTGCTGTTGAAAGCTTATTATAATTACCATGCACTTCTATGTTTCAAAAGTTTGGAAACAACTCTTTTTCCTCAATGGGAACGTCAGATTGGTTTGAGGAAGTATCTATTTGCACACTGTAGTGGTCCATCGCCACTATCACTAATCTGAAGTAAACACCCACAGCCAGGTGCCACTGATAGTCTTTTGTTTGAACCTCACGTGACCTGAAGCATGTGTGTATTTCTTGTTTTCTTAAAAAAATTAAACAGTCTTCGACTTATTTCCAAAGGAAGCGCTTGAAAAAGAAACCTTATTGAAAACCATCACTGAAAAAAAGAAAAAAAGGAAAACAACAACAAATTTAAAGCAAAGTAAAAAAAAAATATGCGAGGCCGTTAATTGCGAATTCCATGTGATATCTCTGGTGTAAGAGAGCGAAACAGCCATTCAGTATTTAGAAAAGGGTTTGATGTTCGTGAGTTCCAGAAGACACGAGGTTTTTGAGTGTGAGTTATGTCATTAAACACGCGGCCTCGGTATTTTAAACAAATCGCCGGCCACATTAAAGACTTAAAAAACACGGCTTCCGAACAACAATCATGCTTCTTCGAAGACAATTAATTTGCTTGGTGTTATGAGATCACCCAGGTAGTCAGGGAAACTCGAGAAAAAAGTGTTCTCCTTTTTTTCCTTTCGTTCTTCACAGTGAAAAAGTGTTTAAGGTCGCGTGAAACATGCGTCAGCGTGTTTCAAATTTGCTCGCAGGCAGACCATTCATGAATTTAAAGAAGGCAACTCTGGAATTTTAAAAATAACACTTGAAAACATAACCTTGGATAGTATGCTTCCGAACAAACGTCATTCTTTTAAAATGATTGCAAGACATTGGCAAACTCTATCCGAAAGCCGGCCTTTCGCGATCTGACACTTTTTTTTCGACACGGCTGATGGCGAAAACAAGCTGGCCACCCGATATGAAAGAGAAAGTTTTTTTAATACAATCGAAAACGGCCCTTATAGCGTATGTGCTCCGGCAAGTCCCATCCTGTAGACCAACACAACACTTAAGAGTCACATTTAAAAATGGGAAACGTTAGTTCGTGAGCATCGCTTAATGCAATCTGCCAAATAAGAGTAGACAAACTGCGAGTCAACGTGGAGAAATCAATTTACACTCTATTTTTGTAACAACCCGCGCGCGGTACCAAAAAGCGCCTAGTGTTAATTCTAATTCGTAAAAGAAACGCGATGCTTCAACACTATTTCTTCGAATTGAGGACAGAAAATTATTTTCATATGGAGAATTGTTCTCCCCACATAAGCTGAGAGCGCGATGTGTTAACTAGTTCACTGTAAAGCCTGTAGGTTTAACAGCAATCGTAAACCCTCCACGCTTGAACTGTTTTCGGTTCTTTGAATATTCAATAACCTTTTATTTTCAGTCGTGTTTCTCACTCGAAATATTCTTTCTCTCTGTTTTGTTCGAACAGAACACTTTCAAAAGTAAAATATAAACTCTTTGTCTTAGTCTGACTGAGCTTTTTATCGCTTTTGGCGTGTTATTCGCGGAGACAAAAACTGAAACCGTACTCTTCCCGTGTGTAAAATACTTGACCTCGCTTCCATGTAAATTCTTGTTTTGTTGGCTTCCTTGTACTCCATCTTGGTTTACATCAAGTTTTAAACGCTTTCTCTCGCTGTTGTTACCTTAAAAATAATCTTCAACGACGCCAAAAATCCTGGAGAAGCTATTTCTGTAGTTTTTAAAAAGACGTAGTTCTAAACAAGGTCGTTTTAACAGGATTAACTTGTGACACCCTACAACCAGAAATGGCTTTACCTGAGAAGAGTTATAACATATAACTGCCACTGAACTTACTATTAAAATCATCTAAAAATCCCAAAAAGACCACAAAATTCGTTTGAAAACAGTAGGAAAATCCATTAACCTTCAACCAATGTTATTTTGATCCCTTTTTAAGAACAAAAACGGGCAATAAAGAACAGCTTTTATAACCTTACCACTTGGCCAGACTGATCTCCCTGCAGTAGTGAAATGACGGCGAACAATAGTATATCTCGCCTTTCGCTTGAGCTGCCAATCAAATGACAGGGAACAATCGAAACACGTGATTGAAGTTTTTATTATGCAAAACCACCGGAACTTTCCGCAGTGCCAGAATTTCAATTTCGTGCGAAAAACAAGGAAAATAATTCTTTTTGGCGATTCAGGAAAGCAAACAAAACACGAGCTGTTAAGCATGCCCTGTGAACTGTTTCAGGGGAATTGTGCGTTCATTTCATTTGAGATGTTTATTTCTAAAAGTATGCAGGATTTGAAGACACCCTTCAATTACTCCGTTTACGTCACAAAGAACAAATAATAGTTCTGATTAGAATAGACAACCACAGCATTTCTTCAATACACGCTCTGCTCCGTTTTCGTGGAACTATTCCAACACTGCATAATCTATCTCACTTAAATAACGCTTTCAACCGGCAAGACAAATCAGACAACATCTAATGGTGACTGTATTTTTCGTTCAGCGCCAAACGCGTTTTGTGAAAGATACCCCCGGCGGTGACTATTGAGTTGACTCAGAAAAGGTAGACTTGTTAATGGATATAAACCAAAGAAAAATAAACTGAAAACAGTCGCTTGATCCAGTTATCAGTACAGCGCTGAATTTACTGAAGTTTTCGACACTTTCGTGAGGAATATTTGAGTTATCAATATATAAAACTTCTTCGAGTTGTTTATGATATTCTGTTTAACGTAGTTAAAAAACGCATCGCTTAGTTACGAGTCATGATGTTATGAAAAAATCTCGCAGGACTTTCAATCTGTGTACCATTTTCCGGCTTGAGGTTTTCCGACTTCCGTCGGTCATTTTCGATTTCGGAGACATTCCCCATAGCCGCTGATATTCAAGCCAGAGTGTTTACCTAAGTGCTCATGGTTAACCAGCTGTAAAGGAAATATTCAATTTGAGATCGTTTCAGTGATCACCGATATCCCATTTTTTAACATTTGAGAGCGAAGACAATTAAAAATTGACGGAATTTCCCACGTTATGTTTCATGCATTTACACAACAGGCCATAAATGCGATAAGACTCGCCGTCGAAATTCGAGCGCTGTTACATAGAAAATGAAGGCATTTCGCAATATACTTTTCTGGGCCGTCTACAGAGGAAGTAAATATATGAAAAATTTCAAACATTCCACTCTAAACCAGATAGGAGTGACCTGATTATTACACAGCATAGTTGATGAAGCGGTTGTTTTTGTTGTTGGTTTGGTTGTTTCAGTTGCTTTCGTCTTTTCCTTATAGGAACAATCATAGTGCTCAAAAGTAAAACAAAACACAACAAAACAAAAACAAAAAAACGGTATTCACTTTTGAATGCTGTAAAGTGGCTGTGTCATGTCACGTTACCATAAGTTAAAATATATTGTTGATGGGAATTTCTATAATAATGACTCGATATTGTTATATGTTATGTCCTTTTCATGACTCATAAATAATTCGACCCTAATTACGCGAGTCCGACAAGAACCAACCTTAGAAGTTTACGTTGACTTTCTCTTCTGCCAACACCACAACAAGAGCAACAAAACGTTTATAAATCCTCATTTTCAAAATGGAACACGTCTTCATCAAGAGTTTTAAATTTTCTGGTTTATTCATTTGATTATTTGTTTCTTTTTACTGGATTATTCTGGCACTCTCAGAATATAACAATGAAAAGAATACTTACATAAATGTATAGAAGTTAGCAGTGAAGTATCCACGGTAATGTTTTTGTTCAACTGAGTTTCTAGATTGATTTCTGATGTTTGCAGAAGGTGTTAAATTGGTGAAACCGGAGGAAGCCCCTCAAGTTTCAGTAATTTTGTTCACCGCATTTTCCAAGATGGATCCGATAGAATGAATAGAGTTGCCTGCAGATAGTGCCTGTATGATAGGGACGTTTTATCAGGGTTTTATCTTTTTGTCGCCGAGGCGCTTCGTTTTACGGAGCCCAACATCAAAAGATCCAAAGAGAGCTCTCTCGCCCAATTTTATTTGAACACCACAAAAAGAACTCTACTTACACACAATACACGATCACGGGTAGCCAGTAAAAAAAATTACCTGCTTTAGACTTTCCTCCACCCAAGTAAATTAAAAAAGAATTCAGATAATGTCGAAGTAGTAATTGGTCCTAATGTAGAAAGGAAGGAGGAAAAAATGAAGACGACGAGACAGAAACTGGGCGAGGGAAGTTTGAACCCCCCTATCCGCGATCTGAACTAGGGTCTAAACAAGGGTTTACAGGCAAGAGTGGATGATCTGACATTTGACCGCTAAAGGATTACCACGGTCTTACTACGCGATGATTCAGCCCAGGTGGAAAATTAAACGTAACCGGGGTCGCATGAAGAGTCCTCAAGAGGTCTAAACATATATATAACGCACATTGAAATATTTCTTCGTTCTGATTGGCTAAGAAAAATGCATTTTTTGGCAACAAAAGGCAGAAGGGAAGTGCTAAATCAGAGCAAAAGAAGGTAATAGTAGCCAGGCAATGAACTCTTTTGCGGCTAAAAAGTCGCAAGAAAAGAAAAGAAAAAGAATAAAATAAGAGAATGTTGGTTTGATTGAACCCGGTTGTTTTGACCGAACACGCACTGGACATTGCAGGGTTAGCAAACATTAATTTTGCACGCCATTCACGCGCTTTATTTCTACATGATTATTAAAAGCTATCTCAAATTGTGTCTTTAGACATACCATCAATAAGTTACCACATGATTTTTCTCGCACAGTTTGGAATTACGAAACACTCGTAAATTTTTTCATAGACAACAAATTGCACTTACCCTACGGGCTTGTGTAATTTTGTAGGTCTTTTAGAAAGAAATCACTCCTGCCTGTTTCTTCCAAATAGTACCGGAAATCGTATCATTACCTGTACGTATCTTACGAAGATGATAAAACATCCTCTTTCTACTCTAAAACATATAAGAATGGGAACAAGAGAAAAAAAGGAGAATTTCCGTCAACAACTTTTCCTTTCTGAGTAACCTCTCCAGTGAGATCTTGAACATTCAACTGAACCAAACACATACTGGCCATAAGTTCGATGCAGGTGGGCATGTTAAAGATATCACCAATTGTTATTGAGACTTTATGACATCTTATTTAAACCAAAATATCGAAACAAGCACCTTGGCCAGGGGGAATTTTTTGACTTTCCTGTAGGCAGATTTGGGTGACGTGAATTTAACTAACTCCGAGGCGGCTGTATACACTAGCTAGAGTTTAACACAAGAGACAAGAGTCATGCCTGCGTGTAACTGAATTCATACAGCACGAGTTGACATAAGCAAACAATTCACTTAGTCGAAAAACTTATCAGTTAAATGGAGGAGAAAGACTTGTAGGGAAGAAAGGTGATAAAAGACGCTTACACTGTTGTTTCATTTTCAGTAAAATTATTCCGGCGACAATTCTTTTTCCTGGCACTAGCCCGACTCTTGGAAGTGGCTTGCCAAGCTCGTATTTTACTAGACTTTCTGGTTCCGCTGTAGAGTGATTCTCTTTGGGGGTGGCAGATGTCAGATGCTAGGTGAGGTGCTCTGAGCCACACAACCCATGACCATTTCAAGGCACTGCCGTTCGTGCTTAAATCCGGGGGGCCTGGAAAATTTCAGAAGATGTCGCACCAATCGGAATACCACGATAAAGCGTCATAAAGTTCAGTCAGAGAGTTCACAAACAGATGACAATACAAAAAATATAATTTTTTCCATCATCATTTGCATCATTAAAGCTTTACTTTGCTTAAGATTCAAACCTAAAAATTACAATCACGTCGAATTTTTTTGCTTGCCTCAACTCACAAATCTACATTAATTTCTTTGGCCACGTGACTAATTTATCATTTTTTTTCGTATAGGCTCCTTCACTTGTTTGTCGTATTCACTTGTATGTCGACGTAAGAAAATATTTACTAAATTGAAAATCAATTGAGTTGAATTCATTTTCTTTCATTTAATCACTGGTTTTCGGCTACTCAGGCAATCCAAAGGTGCACTGTGTAACAAAAATAACATTATCAGTCATGTTGTACGCTTACAACGAAAGGGAATGAAATTTGCATGACCACCACAACAAGATTTCGTACAACCCCACACTTCATTATGCAGACAATAATTTGATAGACGAAAACAAGCTCTGCATACCGTTGGACCCATGGATAGTGCTTCTCCCGCCATGGCGGCAGAAAGTTTCTTATCTTTTTTTCATCCTTTGCCTTTTCTTTTTCCCTTTTTATTTGCCTTCTTCTTCAAAAGCTTAAGCATTCTCATTTCGCTAGGTACGTCTTTATTTATTGTGCTAGATAGGCATCTCAATAAGAAGCACAGCGCAACGTTTGTCTTTCATTTTCCTCCTTTTGCAAAAATTAGGGGGTTTAATCACTCCAGCATTCAGTTCATCAGTTTTGTTTCACGGTGAACGATTATTCGAATTTGGGATCAAAAAGGGCTATACAGAGGGCCTATGAAAAATACAATTTAAAAAGGTGCATCACCCTCAAAACAGTATATTTATCCAAGCGCCTCATGCGAGTAATTCGTGCGCAAACTTTATGCACGCAGTCTTAATGTCAGCTCATTTTTTCATCCATAAACAAACTTTGCAGACCTCAGATCTCTTCTTTCACATGACTACAGTCGAACCTGTCGCAAGCGTAACCCACGCGGATGGTGGGTCACTGCTTGATGCAGGTTGGCCACTTAACACTTAAATTTCTTGTTGTTTTTGTAGTCTTTTGCCTTGACGTTATGTTTCTAGAATGTACTTAAACTGTTCTTAGTCCACAGATTTTTCTTGTTGCCTTGTTAGACTTGATAATCGCTTGTTATGGTTGTAAATGGCTAGTTTCATAGGTGGTCATGTTTGGGTTGATAAAACTGACGTTGAGTTTTACCCACTCTGAAGATTCTGTTTGTGTGCGTGATTTTCGTGCGCAGCTCGATCATTGGCGTTTAATTGGTTCCTTGGTGCTCGCCAAGTGCTTCAGAGTGAGCCACCCAATTTCCCCCTTTGCAAAACAACGAATGCACTATGGAAACTCACATGGTCAGCTAACTCAAACACGTCTGTGATTTTTTCATTTAATGCGTGGGCACTCCTTGCTAAAAGTAGAAGAAAAGTAGTAGCAGCAGTAGAGATAGAAGAGACTCGAAACGTTGTAGTAGGAAGGAATTAAAAAGAGAGAAGAGTCCAGAGTCTCAGTACTTCTCGTTAAAAGCCAAGCGAGTGGTATAGAACCCAGCAGTATTATAAAAAAGATAGAAAACCCCTGCCATTTTATGCCATAATTGATCACTCAATGTACAAAACCACAACTAAGATTGATTTCGAGAGAGAAACATGGATTAAAAGTTAGTTGAAATATTTCTTTTTTAGTTTTATTTGAGTGGTTCCGCTTTATGTGACCGTTCCATACAGAATGAAGCCGTTGGGACTTGATAAAGGGTGACAACGACCGCTACATAAAGGTTACCGCTTCAGTAATAGAGGTGAAAATTACATTGATTACGGGGAAACAAATTCGGGACTTTGACATCACGAGTGATCATCACAAAAGTGATGCTGGAGCAAGACCGGAACACTCTTCACAGCAAACTCTCACGACTCAATACACCCATGAATTACCGAAAGAAAAGTTGCCCTAATACGAAAAAAAGGTGTCCATCTTACTGATACAAAAATAATATCTTGCATCTCCCAACGTCCCCCCACCCCACCAATCACGGTCATGACCTGTGACAGAAAGCCTCCAATGCTGGAGTTGCCTTCAAACTGACGAAAACGTTAGAAAGGTAAACAATACCTCTTTCGTTAGAAGGGAAACTTCAGATAAATAGTGGCAACTGTGAACGTTACGCCATCTCACATAGCGGCGCGCAGAAAATTTCAGTTTCAAGATAGCTCACATCACCTTCAAGTTTCTCATACACAAAGATTTAATTTCCGCTAGTACCACCAAAATCATATTTTACAATTTGGATCAACAGTTGATGTTTATGTCCAGATTTCCTTTCTATCTAAGCAAAAGAACACATTTTCCGGGCTCTGACGTGATAAAGCCACGCGGGATGTTGGGAGAAACTTGCAAACAAAGCTTATAAATCACGAGCTGGGGGAGAGTGATTTTTAAGTTTTCCGAGCGTTCTCGCAACATCCCAAGCGGCTCATCACGTCATAGAGCCCGGAAAATGCGTTCTATTACTTTTATGACATAAACAGTTACATGCGGGCTCCATAACCTGATAAAGCATCCGTTTGGAAACTGTATTGCCAATCAGGCAAAGTATATTATGTTCATTATGTTATAATTAACGCTGATAATTTTGGCAATATGTCATTTGAATGCCACCGTAATCGATTTTAGGGTGAAATCTTGAAACTGAAAGAAACATGTCACTCTCAGAATTAGAAGTGGGACGCTCATTTCAACTGAAGTACAAATATCATAAAGATTTAATTGAAAGAAAAACAAGTCGCGTTGCGCGCTCATCTGGTTTCGAAATCACATGAAAAGGATTTTAGACCAAACTGCATTCCATTCACATTAAAAACCGATAGAACAATAAAAAGAGGCAAACTTTCATAAACATGTGGCTTTCGTTATATTTTAACTAACACTACTGGTGTCTGGAAACAACTCTTCGCAGGGCGCTAGTTGAATACTGGCTACTATCTTCGCATTCTCGGGTAGACTATCTATGACATTTGGTATCATTTTCAACATGGCTTTGATGACCAGTAGTTAGCAGTTTTTTTTTTATTCAGCGATTTGTATTCGTGGCTTACCGATTACATGTCAGCACGTAAACAATTTGTCCAAATATCAGGATATCAGTCCGAGCCCAAAACCATCACACATGGAGTTCCCCAAGGCTCAATACTAGGGCCAAAATTATTTTCAATATTTGTAAACGATCTTCCAGAATCAATAACTAGTGGTGAATTATTTATGTTTGCCGATGATACCACTATTTTTACAATTGGAAACAACATCGACGATATCATCTTAACACTCCAGTCTGTACTAGACCAGCTGTACACCTGGTGTCAATCAAACAGATTAATCGCCAACGAATCGAAATCTGAAGCCCTGATAATTTCTAGCCAGAACTTTATTGGCCCCCTGCCACGCTTGGCCTTTGGTAATAGCTTTATTGAGTACAAAACATCATCTAAATGTCTTGGGGTGACAATTGACAGCAAGCTATCATGGCAGGAGCACATAAAGAACGTTTGTAAGTCATTCAGCAACAAAGT